ATAACCTTATCTTGCAAATTATTAGTGACTATTTTTCAATAGGTCCCAGCCCATCTAGTTTGAAAGAGCGACATGGACTGATGCATCAAAACCCTCAGTTCAGTTCTACTTGTGTTTAGCATCTGAATCTTACCCTTAAAGTGAAGTAGAAGCAAATGAAAAACCCCAAAAGACTCCAACTAGCTTGGCCAAGCAGAACTCTGTAATAATATACAATAAACTACCACATCCAGAGTACATTTATTAATCTGTCTTCACCTTCTAGTTGCTTGACCAGTGAAGTTATGCTTTTTAATACTACAAATAGCTTCTTTCCCACAAGCTTTCTGCTTTCAGGCCTGTGTCCAAGAACTCTGTAGGACCACTAACCTGAGGGACAAAAGCTTAGAAGCCTGCTTCCAATTTAAACCAGTGCTAACAGCACAGAGATGAATACAACCAAATTCAGCCACCATGCCCAGACCATTACATTTTAAGTTACAGTGGAATTAAAATGCAGCTGCAGGTCTGCCATTTCTCACCCTGAGCTATGTGTCAATGCTTGCTGAGCCTGACAAGCAGACATGCACCGTCGCTATTGAGTGCTGGTGCAATGCAAACCAAACAGCTGAAAAAAGCCGATGAGATGAGAGATTTGCCTCGGTTTGGAATGATTTTACAGCTTTGCCTTGTGATTTCTTCATAGAGCTTTGGTTATTAATTTTATATAACTTCCTAAATAAATCATAGTTAAAACCCTGTTTCTGCACATACCAGGTGACATTAAGAATCTAGGTATTAACAACAGTTACCATTTGCATTGAAATAATTCAAGTTTAATATTAAAACTCTAGCTTTTTATTCAAAAGACTCAAAAAGGAGTACTGGACACAAACAAGTTCAATAAGACTGTATCTAAATGCTTCCTACTTAAATAATAAAATCCTGGCTTCACCAAGAATCAATGATAAATATCTCCCAAATACTAATTTGTTTTTCTGACAGTATCTATGGTTTTTAATAATATGCACTGTGCCTGAATGAGAGCAAGCAGCCCAATCATAACGAGATAGACTGGGTCTCCATTTGCCCTCAGGTACATAAGCACCTTCAATAAGCATCTGACAGAAAATCTGTATCTGATGAAAAAACAGATCCAAGGTAGTGATGGAATTTTGCACTCTCAGTGGACAGGACACACTGTCAGCAGGGTAAATTTTTCCATTGTGTGCTTCATGATTGCCCCGTTCTGTGAAGTTAGAACTATAGCACAGTTAAACTAACAGAAGAAAAAGTACTGGAAACTAATAAAGCACAATCTAAAAAGAAACAAACTTAGGAATGCAGTGAATGTTTTTCATTAATTCTTTCACATATGGTTTTTATTGCCATCCAAAAACGTCTAAGTGTCTCTTATTACTTTATAATAAGTGAACAAGTGATTCATATATGGAGTTGCTATCAGTGAAAACCAAACTCAAACATAGAATCTCAGTGAAAAAAATTACCTTTTATCTTAAAATAAGCCAGGTCTTTAACTTCTGGGTATAAAAATATGAATGCTTTATGATTAATACTTTAAAAATGTCTCTGCTGAAGTGAAAAGCAAGATGGCTTTTATAGGCAATTATAAACACCTGCTGGAAAGAATTTAAAAGAATAACTTTAGCTAGTGTCCTTTTAAGGCTACAGTAAGCACCTGTTCACCCATAGCTTTATTGGATTTTCACAGAATTTTAATACCTCCTTAGTACTGGATTTCATTGTGAAAAGGTTGTCCTGATTTTCAAGAATAAACAAACAAATGTTCAAAAATAAGCCAAAAAACCTAAACCCAAAAATCTCTTCAACAAATATATCGAAGTGTGTATAATACTTCCCTCACTGGGCTGGCATCACCAAAGTGTTCCTGTCTGTATTACCTCTGCTTCAGCATATACCCAGATGCATAAAGCTCAGGACTAACCTTAATGGTGGAGTAGATGCAACCCTACCCAAGCGGGAGAGGTAATGGCACGGAGGGAACAAAACTGTGTACTGAGATAGAAGATACGTGACAAACACTGGTAACATCCATGGCCTCGGCGTGGTGTTAAACAGAGGAAACGCAAGCGACTGCCCGCAAGGCGGCTGCAGGCTGCAGCTCCCCATGCTGCTGCTGCTGGCAGGAGGAGAGAACTGCCTAGGTCTTGCTGACATTTACACGCAACACCGGCAGCACGCTCTCTGGGGGACTCCGTACCAAAGTCAATTCAGACATTGAAGCTAATGCCTTTCACTACTGAAGCTCATCTATGAGCGTCACTTCCTCCTCAAGTCTTTCACTTTTATAGCCAATACATACTATCAACAGAAATCACAATGAACGTGCACAGATGGTCACAACACAGATAATATTGCAGTAACTTCTGCTGCTAGAAAAATAAGATTCCAAGAACTAAATGTGCAAAACCATATTTCTCTACATTTTGTGATACACTACTACACTGACATGTTTCAAAGCAGTTTCTTTAATAGCTGAATCAAAAAAAGGAAACCAAGTGATTCCAGGATGTTCAAAGCTATGCAGAATTGTCATCTTCCATCCTATTATCTCATGCAAACACCTTCTGCTATGATAACCTGCAATTTCACTGTGTTTCCAAGCTTATTTTAACGATGTATAAAGACACCAAAGTATTTTTACATAGATTTGCTTTGAAGCTTGACAGTTTGCACACCAGCAGTCTTCCCAAGAGTCTCCTTCACACAATTTCTAGGAAGTGCATTGACACAATCGTTAGCATGGGAGGTGTGTGCCGGTGGCGTACGCAGTGCTTCACATACAGCCTAATGAAATGAGCAGCTAGGGGAGCTGCTGTAACTTAATTAACACCATGTTAAAGACTGCTAGCCTCTAGAGGCAAAGGCTGGCAAGCCACAAAGGAGCGTTAAAGCAACTATAACTTTTCATGCCTTTGGGTTGCAGAACAGGAAGGTTCTGCACAAACAGCACGAGCAAAGGCTACCCTTCATCCCACCCTGCCCAAGACAACTCTGTCCAGCCACACGGGATTTACCTCCAGAAACCACGTTAATTGTCTCTGCAACTCTTCAACTTTCTGACTGGTTGGGTCAAGGTTCCAACTGCAAATTGGTTTATTTATGCAGCAACCATCAAGTACAAAACGGGCTAAAGTGACCTGCCCTGAACAGGATGTTGCACTACGGAGAATTGGCTGACTATTGCTAAGTTTATACCAGAAAGGATGGGGGGACCCTCTGCAACTACAGTAACTAACGGGTGGCTACTTCTGTGGCAGCAAACACAACACAAAACCTAACACAGCCTTGCACACACAGAGACACATATGCTAAAAGCTGTCAAAAAATACACTCATTGGTCCATATTAAAAAAAAAAAAAAAATCTTTGGAGGCTGAATCCTGCTAATTGCAACTTCATCCATGTTAAAGGCAGAATGATGTTTTGCCACTACACGGTTAAAATGCTAGTAAATGCATTTTCTATGACAAGACACTCTCTCCATCTTCCACATATGTGGGGCCACTGTCATCTGCATCATATTTCTCTTTCGTTCCAGTTGGGCTCTGAACAGACTATGGCATGACACACATGGAAGGTACCCGTTCGTCATGCAGTGAAAGCTCACATCATCTGCAGAGTAACACAACAGGTAGCAGGGTACACATTGAGGCCACATAAGTTATAGCTACCAGGATGAGAGAACCGAAGGACGGCCCATTCTTGGCAGAACACGTAGAATTGTAGAAGCACATTGTAAGGAAAGAATTAGTATTGAAGCTATTTTAGCTGTATGCAACTTGGCTTTGTGAAAAGTTGTGTTTGGTAGAAAGGGTATTTTTAATATAACAGTTTTGTTTAATTCTTGCAAAGCTAAATTGCAGCTGGTCTGGGCACTACTGATTAGTTTTCTTTTTACAGTAACCGTCGCTGCACATATATACCATTCCACAGCCGGTGTTAAGCAACCTGCCATAAAGAAACATTTCTTCTTTGTTCCTGATGCTTATGCACCCTCTTTCACCCCTCTTGTCTTTGAAGGATGCTCTTGGTAAGCATCAATTTAGAATATTTTTAGATCTGTAATTTCTCTATGAATTAGAAAAAGATAAAGCAATTGGATTCAAGTTGATTTTGCTTTCATTACAACAATTTATATATTACATTCCAAAAAATGTGAGTGGGTTTTTTTTTCTTTTTCAAAGAAAATCCAGAGGAGACCAAAAGCAATCGAACTGTGTATAATGTAATCTTGCCTACAGCACCGAATCTGGAGACTACAGATTTGTTAATTAGCAGCAAGAAAGCATGAGACAGAGCCTCTGTACATAGATATATGTTGTGCACAGCATGCACTTGGGTTACATGCTTTAGTTTTGAAAATGCATGCTTCAGTACAGTTTGCAGGACACCAAAGCAGAGTAGTTTTGCGACACAAGTGGATTTCTTTTGTTGTCACGTCCCACCATGTTCAGATAGGCAGCTCCTTTTCCTGTCTGAACAAGCCAGCAGCAGCAGGTAGCCACAGAATGCGAGATTCATCGGTGCAAAGACATACACTTTACAAGAGACTCAGTTTTCATTTTAGGAGACTACATTAAAACCTTCAGTCTCTGTTCTTGTCTAATCAGTGTGTATATGTTGTAATATTGGAAAGACAGAAAGCTGAGATAAAACAAATCTTTTAGTTGGCAGTTCTTAATATTCTGATATCTTAGGCAACAATGCAAGAATTCTAGAACCGTATTTGAACACACATTCCTCTCTGAGGAAATTACGCATGTAGTAATTTATTTTAGACTACCCCCAAATAATCCCCACATAGATTGCAACGTGCATATGCATATATATTTCCATAAGAAAGCTGAAATATTTATTTAAATGATCAAAGTTTTTAAGAGATCATGCACTGATGCTCTTTGATGGTGAAAAGCCAAATAAAAGATTCGTGAGAGCACTAAATTAGAAAGCGACCAACGGGCATAGCTTAATTCTTACCTTGGCTGTTTTTTTCACGAGTTGACATTTTTGCTGGTTATGGGACAGAAATAAAATATCTTAAAACTACTTCTAAAGTCTCACTCACACCTGCTTGGATGAAGACTGGCACACACGTCAAAACTTTAGACTTGTTTTCATAACCTCTCTCTTTATGCACATACACACAGAGAAAATAATAAAAAAACGTTTTTTGTTTCACAAAAGTAAAATGAATCCTCCCACCAACCACCCAAAATTTCAGTCTTTCCTAAAGATCCAATTTGAAGAGGCATTTCTCCGTAATTTCCAAGATCCTTATACAGGTCTTGAGTAACATTTGGCCAGGAGAGTTCTTGGAGTAATTATTAATGCTATTTTAGCTCTATATCCCTGTTTCATAAGCATACATCCCAATGTATTTATTTACAGGAAATACTATTCAGTCAAAAGAAAATCTTTCCAGCTTCCTCCAGTATTTAAAAATAAGTGATTTTATTTACCTTGGCTGATGATGACATCTTTGTGCCTGGGGAAAAATTCAAAATAATATCATTAATAATACGTGAAATGCTTATCAAGCCAATACCACCTAGTTCTTACATATTATTGCATTTGGCTATCTCATCAGATTCTGTGTACAGTGTAACTGTCGTACAGGATGCTAAATAACTAATCCTGGTCATCATAGTGCATTTTTACCCATATATTATTTTATGCAGTTCACTGTACCTTTCAAGTAACTTGAAGTCTTTGGCCCCATGGCAAGGGTTCCTAAGAATTACTGTGACAACAACAAAATACAAAAAGCTTTTAAAAATAAATTATGAAGGGCTTATTCCTTGTGCATGGAAAATTCCATTTTGAGAGAGCAAACCTGTAATAACCAAATGTTTTAAGCTGCCAAACACCCTCAGGCCTGCATGCAAAGCATTTAACACCTGTCAAAATAAGCTGTCAGCACACAACAACACAATTTTTTCTAGGAATTAACCCTGTTGGCCACATGGATTAAATGTAAGCAAGTTGCAGTTTCATTTAAACTGGATCCACACAGCATTACTGGATGCACAACACAAAGTCTTCAAAGTAGCACAGTTGAGATGTCTCTCCTCGCCAGAACCGGGAATGAACTACTCACAAAAAACCTCAATCGTCTTTTGTGAAGAGGGAAGAAATAGTAATTTCCAGCATCAGAGCTACTTCTTACCAGAATAACACTCCTTGACAGGAGAATGTATTGCATAAAATAACCTCTTGAATTCATTTGCAGGAAGGTATGAGTGGCATCCAGTATTTTTAGCTGGATGGAGGTCAAGTTTTTGTAACAGTGACAAAGGGTCAAGCATATGCATAAGGAGAGTCATCTCTGGCTATTGGTAGAATCACCCTTCACCACACTGCCAAAGGAAAAATTAAAACTGGATTCCCAGTCTTGCCTGAAAAACACTAAATGATGGGCTGCCATGGGAACCCTCTTACTTCTTATGGCTTTATCAGACTGATTTACAGCTCAGTGCTGGCTTAAAGACTGAGCTTACTAAACGAAGTTCATATCCTGGGCTGGTAGCGTAAAGCATATGTAAAACATTTCTGTCCTGGGGCCCACATTAGGGGCTGAATTCTACTCCCTTGCACAAGACTCGGGTAACTTCAGGCAGATTAGGCCAACATTTCTTAACTGTGAACGATAAATGCAATATAACAATATGTCTTTGCACGATACCAACCAATTCTTTTAGAAACTGGGCACACAGGATGTGAGTAAGAAATGAGTATTAGTGTGTATTGCTCTTGAATGCAAATAGTGCTTTTATTATATATCTGAGCATAAGAACAAGGTACACAAACAATACAACACCCAGTCTTCAATCATATGATGGTCTACATTTGATAATGTTGGAAGCTTTATTTTTTGCCAAATACTTTAAGATACAACAGCTTCAGGTTATGAACAGACAACTTTCTCTAACAATAATTAAACCTAATCTTTCCTTGTCCGCTCTTCTGTTAGACACCTGTTTTTTTTTTCTAGATTAGAGACTGTAGAAGGGCAGCATTTAAAAGTCTTTTAGAAAATAAGCAGAATCACAGGAAAATGAAACAAGATACCTCTATTTTGACCATGCCTGAACCAATATACAAAATGTCAATAAAATTTATTTTATTAGCAAATTTGAAATATATACCACATTGTGACAGATACTTCAGTAGCATAACAAAAACCAAGAAAAGAAACTTGATAAGTAGAAATCAAGACAGAGGTTTTTTTCATTCCAAAATATTACCTAGCAGTACCCTGCTATTATCTAAATTGCCAAAGGGCTTTTAAATTCCAACACTGAAAACCAATTATAAAAGGAAAAGAAATACTTGCGAAATATATAACCCCTAATCCCTGACACACAGCACTTCACTGCTCTGCAGAACTCTTCAGGCTAACCATAAAGTTTTTAGTAAACGTGCCGATATCCACACCTAAGATTAATTTAAGATGTTTTTGTTCCTCCCATTCCTAGGAAAGAAGGAATGCACTTGTACCGCTCTCGACTCTTAAGTATGTATTTGACAGTCTTATATGCAAGCTAAGGAGAGCACTACAGACACGATCATAAAAAGACTGGAAATTACTCTGAAAGGTCTGAAGAGCCTTTCTTTGTCAGAGTGGGAGGGGTTTTCAGGTAGTTCTGCCTTGGACCAGTTAATAGCTATTTGAATGGCTATTTGAATGAAGATTAATGAGCAGATGTATGAAATCTGCAGATGACATCAAGCTGGGAAAAGCTACCAGCACGCTGGGGGATCTTGGCAAATGGGAGAGGGGTCAGTCAGAAAGTCAACAAAACAATTTCAACAAACTCAGCAAAATTTCAACAAAGTCAAAAAAAGAAACTAAGTGTGTGAAAACAAAGTGGGAAGCTGGCAAGTAATTACTCCTACAAAGAATCAAATGGTCTTAGCATATACACAAACAAGTTCACTAAAGTTATGCAATTTCATAATATTTTGACTCTAAAGTTCACTTGCTTTTATGTACCAAACTGATACATACTTGTCTGCATTCTTTGCCACTTTTGATATTAATTTAGATGTTGATGCTACTCTCAGCAGCTTGTTACGACTGTCATCCGAACTCTCCCAAGCACTGTGAGGTTTTTCAGCAGTCAAGGATTTCTTTATGCTAGAAGAAACAAAAATATATTTTAAAATGACAAGATAATAAGACAATAATAACTGGAACTGGTATGCAATGGACAGATCAAGCAGCAGGAGACAAAAGCAGAGCTAGGTCTTCCTTCAAGCTGAAGCATGAAACAGGAAAAAAAGATTAGTCAAAAAGTTCTAACTGGATGAATGAAAACAATTGAGCAAGACAGTTGCCAAATGTTTTATCCATTCCTTTCCATCTCCAAATGCTCTTACACAAAGACTTAATCAAAATCACTCTATACTTCATTACTATATTGCTAATGAATTACAAAAGTGGGAAAAAATGAGGCTACAGTATATTAGCCTTAAAGAATAAATTATTTAAAAAGTTACTTAAGACTGTAACAAAGAAAAGCAGAATTTTTTTCCCTGATTAACTGTTCACCAGTTTTAACATACTGATTTCTGAGGCAGAACAGCTCTGTCAGATTATAGTTTCATATGTCTGTTTTGCAGATAGCACATTCTAAACCACATTAATGGCTTTAATCTTTTTGAAACAACTGTCTGCAAACTTCTTGCATGAATAAGGCAAATTAGGTTTGACCCAATTCTACAGACGATTAAATCCATGAATTGAGATATAACATTTCAGCAATCTTACGGTAGCCAATTTACACTAATGGGAACCTGCAAGTTTTGCAGTCACTAGTTCATTAGTTTCACACACATCTTAATCACGGAAAACGTTCAAAAGTGATCTAGCTCAAATTATTCTTCAACCAGCTGATTTACAGTCTGCACATGTCCTGCTAACAGTATTATACTTCATCCCGTCAGAAATGCTTTTTGCAGGAGTAAGTCTTGAACTGCAACCTTAGAAATGGCAAGCTCCTCCCACAGCACCTCAAGAGGCTGAAAGGTCCTGCGACAAACAAGTTAATCAAATCAAGTTAAACCTTTAGGCGACTAAAAAAGGCATTTATTTTTTTCCCCACACTGCAAAAGATTAGTAAGCGAGACTTCAGGCAAACATCTTTACAGTGAGATACCAGGCAGGAGAACAACAGGCCGCAAGTTCAGCTTCAGACAACTTAGAGTTTGTGCAAGACACGGAGACAGAGCCTTTATGGAGTGTTATAACATGCATCAGTCAAGTGAAAGTTTAAATATTTATTAGAGCTGTGAATTTGAGCAATGCAAGACAACATAATCTTGTGAACTACAGTAAATTTCAGAAGACTAAATTTCATTTATTTAAGAGCTTGTTTCAGTCTCCTAAATGCCAAACAGTAAAAGAAAATTTCATACCTTGCAAAACAATAAGGTGACAATGAATCAAAAAAAAGGAAAAAGAAACCACACTGAGTGATCTGCATAGTTTTGAAACTCAGAAATAATCACCCAAATCTTAAAATCCATTTCCTTGACTTAAAAAAAAAAGACTACCATTTTTTCTGTGCTTAATTCCCACTAAAATGAATGGGAACTTAGAGGCAATTCTAAATAAACTTCTGTGTTCACTCAAGTCAAGCAGTTGTATGATTTGGGTGTAAAACCAGAACTTCACTCATGTAAAGAATCAGAATAAACAGTGAAGTGAACCATCCTGCAACATAGCAGGAATTGAAAAGGGAAGGGCTGCAAAAAAAATCCAAACTGCAGTCACTTTATAGAATAATCTGAGAAGAAAAACTCCCAAAGGAAAAGTTGCAATGATACTAGTATTTAGCAAATGCTGTTACGAGATGTAGTAAATGGCCACGTGCAAAATACACTCCACAATTCAGCTATGCCAGACAAAACCTATAGAGTGTACTTTGAGCAGGATCAAGTCAGAGTCATCGTTAAGTATTTTAGAATAATGACTGATTAGAGGTAATTTACCATATTAGGTTTTCAATCACAGAGAAGAAAAAAATCTTTGTCATCTTAAAAATTTACTCAAAGAAAAATCGCATTTTTACATACTTGCTCTGTTGCAATGCATGTTGAATGCATCTTCTCTAGCACAAAAAAATACCAAACATTTATTAACTTGATCATGAGATTGGAACTATTTCACATGACTTGTTGTCAAATATGAACTCAGTATCATTACAATCATTTTCTAGTTCTGTACTGTGGTACTGTGAAAACCTTTTAGCTGGAGCAGAACTCTTGCTTTCTTGAGTTTGCCTGTGTGTTTGGAGAGTCTGTGAGGAGGGCTGGGGAGAAGGTGATGCTTGAGTTTGTGGACTTTGATCATTAGAATGAGATTCCTCTTTTTTTTCTTTCTGTCCTGGAGGTTTTTCCTTCTTTTTTTCTGTACCGCTGTAAAATAAAGTATAACATAGGGGGGAAAAAAAAAAAAAAAGAGAACAAGCAAATAAATTAAAAAGGTGGGAGAAAATGCCCTCTGTGAAAAGATGGGAGAAGCACGTAACAACTCTACCATACATAATCACCAAAAGAACACTTTGATTATTTACTCACTGTCTTCAGGTTAGCATTTTGCTAAAATAAGATTTATTCACAAGCTCCAAAAATAAAAAAGATGAGGGAGGCACAGAAGATTATTTACTTATTTTTACTGTGTAGTTGTACTAAGTTTGCTCTGATTTTAAAATTAATACAACTTTGATTTGAGTATGTCCTTCGTTTGTGGGTCCTTCTACAGTATTTAAAGCTAACACAAGTTGATGCACCACAAGTCTGCCGTCATTCAAAAAAAAAAAGAAAAAAAATCACCCTCTTGTTCAGCTCACTGACTACCTTACCGTGCTGCCAGCCAAGGCTCAGTGCAAATGAAAGGCAGGAGTGTGACTTGCACTATCTCCGATAGCTTAAGCCCACCATGAAACTATACCTCTCTCTCTGTATTTCTGGACGTGCATGGTACCGCTTATCTTTGCGCTGTCACCAAGAGAGTGAAATGCTGTTGCTGGTCCCTTGGCTCTCCCTGGCTGCACCAGAATTCAAAGGAAAACATCCCTGAAAACTCATCGCTGTTTTGATCTGTAGTTGACTAACATCAGACTTCCTTGACACTTCTTCAATGACTTCAGTAAACGACAGCTAAGAATACATCTTTATTTTCATGGTTGTGTATTTATTAGGTTAACATTTGAAACAGCTTTAAATACATATCATTAACACCCTTAAATTCATTAAGAACCTAACCAAAGGTCCACTAAGTAAACAGAAAGATTAATTAAAAGGCTTTTTATAAAATAGCAGGGTTTGCAATATATTGAATCACACAAACAATAGCAGGACCTGAAAGAGAAGATTATTCTGTAGTACATGGCCAATTTTTTTTTTTTTTAAGATTAGAAAAAAACATCTTCCAAGATAAATTTCTCAGTGAACAAACAAAGCAAGATATAAACACTGGCTAAGAAGGAAAAAGAAAGATTTTTCTCTTAGGTTCAAAGTAACCTGCAATGTAAAAAGGAAATAGTATCTTTCTGAAGGGGAGAATCCAGATTTCTATTCCCTCACACCAATTCCCCAAACCCTTGTATAGTCTTAATTATTTGTGTTTCCATTTACCTTTCCCCACAAAAGAATGAAAAACAGTAAAACAATATTCAAAATAAATGAATAAAAATGGGCCCCCAATTTTAATATAAAATTCATAGGACCCTCTTTTTGTTTCATTTGTTATTTCGATTGAAGTCTATCATTTACCACCATGACAAAGCCCTCAATGTTTGTATGAGTTCAACTTTTCTAAATGCTTCCAAAGAAGCATTGAAGAACAGGTCAAAACATGAAAAATAATATAAAACCCAAAATACATTTGTAAGGATCACTCGGGATTTCTTCTGTAAACCATATTAACTTGTTAAAACTGTCAATATAATCCATCAAAGTTATATTTTCTTTTCAGAAAAACAGATGAAAACAAAAGAAAGAGCTTTCATATTTCTTGAGGGGCATATATGTGATCATAGAGAACAAAGCTTGAAGAGCTGTGGAGTTTTGTTTAATAATTTATAGCCAGAAGTCCTTAATTAACTAGAAGCATAAAAAAAATTTTTTTTTTTTTAATCAGAAGACTTAGATTGCTGGATGCAAAAGCACACTATGCAATCTTAATCTTTTTGCAGTCTGTGGCAAGAAATGCAGTATAGTGAAATAAATTCTCAGAATCTCTTGTCACTAAAGAAAACAAGAGTCTCTCTGTTCCTACTCCAACAGGTACACTCACAGACCTCTGCATTCATTCTCCCATAAACGCAGGATTTCTCATAACGAAGTCCATCTACCAGGACAGACTTAAAGACTTTTTTTTTTTTTTTTTTAAAGAAATCATCTTTCAGGAAGACATGCTTCCAATTCTCCCTTTCCCTCTACTTGGGGATTTCAAAATACAGCCTCATAATAGTAAAAGCGATGAGGGATGCAGGAGGAGAAAGAATACACAAACGTAATGGCTTCCATAACTCCAGCTTGCAAGTCTACAAAGAATGGTCCTACTTGGTCAGAACAATGGCTCACTTGGCACCATGTTCTGTCTCTGATGGTGGCATAAAACAGCTCATCAGTGAGGTCCCTTTCCCCATACTTTTTATAATATCCTGTTTACAATGACACACCAGCAATCCTCCAGTTCACCTCTGCATTCCTCCAGCATGCTCAGGTGAATGCCAGCTGCTGACAACAGCGTATTATCTAATTTACCAATTCGGTCTCATATTTTCTGTGTGCTTACCCAAACTCATTTAGCTCATCTGATCCATCTCCTAGAAACAACAGGTTCAGCATGGAAATCTAGTCAATGGCTTCACCAAGCTTGTCAGCTGTGGACGACATGTTTCACACCTTTGCCATTAGGTTCATTCCTTAACTTCTCTGTTGGGCCATGAGAGTCAATGAACCACTCTGGTTTCTCTGAGTTGCAGCACAAGGTTCCAACACAGTGCTTTTATCTGCCATCATGTTGCGAGTGGGCTGCTTTTTTTGACTGCCATTTTAATGTAAAAGTAAATTATGTAGATATGTGGCAGTCTTGGTATCGAATATCTTTGTGCAGAATTTATTTGTTTTGCGCTCTCCTGCTAAAATCTTCAGATTAATTGTATTATGACTGCTATTACAGAGCAGTGTTCCCACTAATACCATTTGAACTAGGTCTTGTGCAACAACTGAAACCAAATCAAGAACAGCACCTTTTCTTGTGGGTTTCTAAAGACTAGTTGTTCTTGGAAGCAGTTATTTAATGTGTCCAAAACTTCTTTCCAAACCCCAACTTGATGAGGCATTTCTTCAGTCTATATGTGAGTAGTTGAGATCTATTGCTATCTGCTAATTTTGCAGATTCTCTAATTTCACTTAACACAACGTTTCATCCTTTGGACCAGAACACATTGGCAGCTACTGGGGAGGGTGGTAATTCTGAGACATGAAGACTATTCTTACCAGAAACAGTTTTCAAAAGAATGTTTAGTCCTAAGGAAAATGATTAAGCAGGTCTTTGTGACAGTCATCTGCAGTACAAAGTACAAACCTGTTTCCAACTCTAGTAATAATACAAGGTACATGGCATGTTTGTTGTTCCAAAGCGTTTCAACACCTCTATCACAAGATAGTTCCAGACTACAGGGCTGAAATTTTCCCAACATGTACGTGACTTCATGTCTGTCAGTGGGACATCATCTACCTGTTGTTCATGGTACATTCCTGGTCTCTGGTTTTAGCGACAGCTGATATTTTAGCAAACCTTTGTTGAAATGAGATGTACTGCTGCTGTGCAGCTACTGAGACATCAGCTCATCTCCATGATCTCAGTGTTCAAGTTGGTAGAACAAGGATTGAACAGCCCAGGAAATGAAACAGAAGAAATTCTCAGAGATGGCAGGTCTACAGAGGCCAGAGCCCCAGAAATGTATAATATTAAGACTGCACAAAATACAGACAGTAAACTTCAACAATAACAGATTGGACACAAGTAGGCCTTCTGTTATTTGTGACTGGATGTATGGCTACATATATTTAGAACATGAAAAGCTATAGGCAGGTTATGGGGGCTGCTTGGTAACTAAAGTGTAATTCCACATCAACAGATGACCATGTCCACCTGCTGCACCAGTTCAACCCCCAGCCTGAAGAAAAGCCTGGGCAAGTTGGGGTTGAAGCATCCCATGACCAGCTGATACTCTCCTTGGCCTCCCTTCTTTTCAACTGCAACATGAATGCTAGAAACAGACACGTTTACCCTAGCTTTAAGGAAATGGGACTACTATTGACATTCACTTATGTCTCCTACTAGGAACACTATTTGGTACTGAACAGTTTTGCTGTTGTTAAAAAAACACAACCACAAAGCCTGAGATTTGACATTTTCTTTCACCTTTCTTGAGCTGGTAATTTTACAAAAGGGCAAGTCTATTTTATTCTAAATACCAAACAAATTCCATGAAAGAGTGTAGAAAGACAGGAAAGTGAAAGGAACTGCTGAAAAGGTAACTAAAGAGGGGTCTTAAGCCTTCCTAAAAACAAGCCTTGAAGAAGGGAGTCACGTACCTTCAGATGCATTGGAAGCAGCAAAAGCTCCCCTGGACAGTTATTTGGGTGCGTGGGGAGAGCTGCCCTCTGCATATTAAGGCTTTCCTCTTCTGGCCTATCCAGGTCTCCTTTTAAAGACCTTAACTCAGATGAAAGGGATGCCGGTCACTCCACTCTGCTCTTCTTCTGTAGTCAAGTGTTGAGCAGCCAACGAATCAAGAAGGTGATTCAGCGCAAATGCAAGCTGAACACCACGGGAACTGGACTGGCTCTCATCAAAGTGCCAAGAGCCACACGGGTAAGATTAATGGAAAAGTGCTAACTAAGAAATACCTTCTTGCAGGAATGTCTTTTGTCCCAGTGCCTGTCACACTAGCAGATAGAGACTTACAGTGATCACTTTCTGACTTATTGTTGAAAAGCAAACTTAAGGATTCAATAAAAAGAAAGATATGCCATGCTACACAATGGAGAAGAGCAGTGCATTACCCTTGCTTTCTAAATTCCAAAAGGCACTAAAGCTTTTTCTGGTTTGTTCTCATACAGTTTATATTTGCATACAGCATTTTTATTCCCTGAAGTAGATCATTTCCCTGTCTTGTTGTATAGCACAGTATTTACATCCATGCTAGAAGATAAACCAGCCACTGGTGTTACCAGAGTACTCTACAGAGGCCAAGAATTTGTTCACATAATTTACCACAGTTATATATTATTCTCTGTCCTGTGGCTGTATCTGGCAGCCTGTTCTTCCCAACAAATAGGAATAGGTGCAAAACCTATTGATTGAAGAAGCCATGTAATCACTTATCTAACAGACCCACAGAACAAAGTAGTTATACAAACACTTTATTTACCGTATGCAGCTGAAGCCATTACATGGAGGAAAAAAAAAAAAAGCTATTGTTTGGTGCATAGCTCATTTAACTTACAAATACTCAGTGTTATTTCTACACATTTGAGATCTGATACAGATACTCTTCATAAAGACTAAGTAGCCATATTTTGGGTTAAAATCTTCTACACAAAAATGTAAACTTTTATCTTATACAATTCATTATTGTTTCATAGCTATTTTGCTATTGCCTACTATTTACACTCCAGACAATGGAGTCAGTTTTGTCCTTTAATTTCCTTAGTGAGAATGTATTTTGGACTATACACTATAGAAACATTCTCTATTTATGAAGTCTTTTTAGAACCCTGCTGTAAGCAGCCCAACAACATGGTACATCTCCAAAGTTTATTTGTGCCTTACTATACTTCAGGAAGCTTTGCTGAGGGTCATGCAGAGGCAAAAATCAAACTCTTGCTCATTTTTTTTTTTTTAATATAATTTCAATTTTAATAACAAGTCAGTACCTTTTTGCAGCAGATGAAAGAGTTTCTTTTCTGGCAACAGAAACAGAGGAACTGTGGCTTGTTTTCCTGCTTCCTGTACTCCCGTTAGTTATACAGGACATCGAGATAGCTTCTCGGAGGCTTGGCTGACCTAGAAAAAAAAGTATTGAAGAACACAAGGTTTTACAGCTGTATCCAAAGATCCACCTGAAAAACCAAAAGCTCTCACATGTGGACCTGGTATCACAGTGCAGCAGCCCCGGCATTCAGGACAACCATCTAGCCTATATCCAGTGGCATACATTCATGAAAGCCTTAACCTAGGCAGCTGGAGATGGGAGACCTGGCACGCTACGGCAAGAATATGCTCTGATAGGGGTCAGCTTCTCTATTGCCATGCTGCCAGCAAATACTTTAAATCAGCGACATGCCACATCTCTTTCCAGTTGTGATCCACAGGGAGAATCACAGATTACAGCTAGCCTTGGGAAGCTGGCAGCTCCAACAGCTGTGGGACAGCAGATCTGATTATTTCAACTCTGTTGTTCAAAACCATCACAGCTCAGATAATACCACATGAGGTTTCTTGCTTTCAATTTGTTTTTTTTTTTTTTTTCCTAAAGATCAAAGAAGTTGCAGACAGAAGCCCTCTCTATACTGAAAGAATTATTAAGTTATTTAAGGGTTGTGATTCTAAGGATTCAAAAACCAAGTTTTTCAGCTTGTTTTCAGCTGCCCCTTCCATCTTAAAAAGGTATCGACCTTTGAGTATATGCACTATGGTACCGTTATTAAGTTTCTGATATAGTTTACTCCATAGAACATCTGCCACATCCAGTGAACATTACAGATTCCCTCCGGGGATGAATCATGACTGTATATGTGAAGAAGGCTGCTGTCTGTCAGATGCCCACTTCACTCATTGCAGAAGTTTGAAACTATGCAGTGAATGTGGGAGGGGACTGCAAGGAAGACGGGGGGAGCAAAGGCTCTTCTATTTAAAGAGCTGAATGCTAGCCTGGCAATCGGCTCCCAGACCTGCCTCTGCCACAGACCATCAGTGAAATACAAGGCATTTTACTCAAATGTGACATTTCACCCATTCCCACTAATTGTGTGTCTCTCCTCTTCTGCATGCCTGTTTTATTTCTAAGGTTTTATTCAGAAAAGCGTTTTGCTCCCTCCTCCCCCCAGGTGCTAAACTTGTGCTTTTCCCCTCTGAAGCCTTACATGCCCTGGAAAAATCCCCGGGCTACTCTCACATTAAGCATCCAAAAATCAGTGTCGCTTTTGACCCCGTCTCCATGCCACATTCACATTTCACAAACAGCAAGTTGTTACTGCATCTCATAGGGTCGTGATGTCCAGCCACTCTGACTTCAGCAACAGAACACGAATGACACGGTTGACAGGAAAATAACAGGTCTGTGTTCGTGGCAGGCTTGGAATAGTGTGAGATAGATAAGGCATGAGGCCATACATTGAAGATAAAAGTGAGGAGTAAAAGAGCAGTCGGGGAGAATCGACTGCTCTGTGCACTGAAGGCAAACTCACATCAATGCGTCATTTGAACAATACCAGCATATGGTCCATTTGCCACATCGCAGTTCTATCAGGCAGGCCGCGAGGCAAATTAATACTTATTTTAAACAAGCACTTTATGTACGAGAGATACCCATCAAGGGGATATTAGATTTCAGAACTATTTGGATGAAGGCAGAAATGGGCTGACCTGCGCTAACCATATACTGCTTCAAACGCACCAAGCAGCATGTGACCACATCTGAAATTCAGATCAAGAAAGCCAAAAGGAGCATGAAGAATATCCCAGGCAGAAATGAGAATAAAGGAAATCTGAAGAAAGTAAAGACACACTTAAATGTAGAAACACTGCAGAGATCATTGTTGTTCTTCCTAAATTCTGCATAAATCAACTTAGCATGATTCCTTCCAACTGGTACTTCTTAGAGACCATTTTATTTGCCACATACACATTTGGAATACAGATTTTATTTTACAAGTTAATATACTGTACAAAACCTCTAAAGCTCAAGAGATTTTTACCCCCCTGTGCAACTCAGATGCAAGAACAAAAGCGCATGAGCTTAAAAAGCACTTTTAGCATTAGAAGCCTATAAATTAGCTTCTTTTATTTTCAGTGACAAAGTAAATCATCTTCTTTGTGGAGATGCATAATATCAAGGCCTATGATTCACTCGTGAACTGCATGTGACCTTAACATCTCCGTCTGCTCATCGTAACAGATCTATGCCTCTCCAAGCAGCACTAGCGCAGCTTCCCAGAAACGTGAATAAGGAGACATAATAGCGATAATTCTCAGTACGGTGGGAAAAGCGTTCAGCAGAAGGCATAGAGAACAGCAGTACTACAGACAGGGTACAGGAACTTAAGACGGGGGGAAAAAATTGCTCTGTTTTCTCAAGCAAGGAGCACATTGCTATTCTGTTCACTGATGGTATCTAGAAGAATTCCCCCTACTAAGTACGAAAAGCGTTAGTACTTGCTTACACCCAAGGACAAAACTGACAACAAATAAAACCATATATCAATGTATACTCATGATAGGAATGTGCTCTAGTCCACGCAATGATGAATGCAATAATAAAAAAAAAAAAAAAAGGATCTGAACAGAAGTTTTTCATAGAATCATAGTATGCTTTGGGATGGAAGGGACCTTTAAAGGTCATCTGTTCCCTCCCCCCTGCAACCGGCAGGGACATCTTCAACTAGATCAGATTGCTCAGAGCCCCATCCAGCCTGGCCTTGAATGTTTCCGAGGATGGGACACCTACCACCTCTCTGGGCAACCCATTCCAGTGTTTCACCACTCTCATTGTGAAAAATTTTTTCCTTGTGTTTAGAAGTCAGTGGTTTTAGGTTTGTTTTTCAGTAAAGTGGATGTTGATGGTAGATCTGCAGAGCACTTCCTAATTTCAACAAGTGGCAGGCAAAAGTAAGCTTGAGATGAAGATTTTTGAATCAAAGTAAAAATAATTTTTGTAAAATGACCAACAATTATACCCAGATCTCTTGAATCATTCATTTCTTGAAAAAGTGACCAAAACATCAAGATCTAGGAAAAACTGCATTGACAGATTTTTTGAAGTGTCAAAAATATATCAGGCTTTCTTACACTCCAGAATAAAATCTTGGTCAGTCATAGTTGAGTGTGCCACACTCAATGTGCAGCAAAACGTAAAAACCAACAAAAACAATGAAAAACAAACAAACAAAAACCCCCAAACGCAACACCCCTAAGAAACAAGCCCCCTTCCAACCTCTCTATATATTCTATTTTAACTAGATATTCAGAAGTGACCTTTAGAATACTTAGTTTTAAAGGGAAAAAAAAATTAAAAATTAAATTCATCTGCAACTATTTTTTTTTTTTTTTTAAGAAAAAGGCATTTAAATTTTAAGCCATGAGAAGGAAGGGCAAGTTTAAGCCCTGTGCACATCCCAGGCAGCAGAGCAGGGAAGCCTGGCTGCCCACGGGGTCAGAGACACACAACCAGGATCTTCCCAGCTGGGTCAGAAGCCCAGGGAAGCTGACACACCAGTCCCAAACCACGCAGCTCTCTTCATGATTTCTAACCAGGGCATCTCTATAGTCAAGAGATGTCAAAAATTAATAACGTTATAATGTTCTTCACTGCAGAGATAGCCCTTCATAGAAGTCAAGCAACTTTGCTTCAGAGACCTGGGAAATAACAAAGCAGCACAGGAGAACACAAATTCCAGATCAATAGACTAAAACAGCTGAGTTCTCCCAGCACTTGGATTGCACATCTCTGCCAATATCGTGTCACACGTCACCTGCTAGTATAAACAGTCTGAAATTTTTCAGACTGAATAGCACTCAGCTTTATCTGTTAGTTTGGAACAAAAGCCAGACATAAACTGAACATAAAATGAAAGCCAGTGTGTGGTGACCAGGATTAAAGCCAAATTGTCAGAGATCAAAGTGGTAAAAAATGCCTTTTATGGATAATGGATTCATCTCTGTTCTGTTAATTTTCATAGAATAGTATCTGTTGAGTTCAAAAGAAGCATTTCATTAATATCTGTCAAGTATACAAGTGTGTGAATGAAAGATAAGTAGGATTAGAAAAAACAGACCACAATAAACCAAGAATCTACATCCAACTCTTTATCAGCCTTGATTAGCTAACTGGGGAAAAATTGAAGCCAAACTGTAAGAGACAGTGGTAAGTTTTGAAAATGTGTGTCCTGTGATAACATGATAGCTTTTCTTTCCAAACGTACATATAAGGTACTAGAGCTGAGGATCAGTTTGTAATTCACTTCTTTTTCCCAAACCCCAAAGTTACAGTTTTTTATGTTAAAATATAGTTTATTATGTTATTACTTGTGTCAACTGGAACAACATTTTGCTTAATATCTTTGTATTTGCTGATATCCTGACAGGTAAACTGCCTTTCTTCCAAACAAAACCCAAACCTTTCTTTCTCTTCTTCAGGTAATTTCAATTTAAAGTAAGTAGCTACAGCTACATTAAAATAACTTCTTGGGACAGTTCATTCAAGCAGACTTAAAATAAAAAGCTCAACAAATTACATGTCACAAAAAAAAGGATTTACTTATACTGTTTTTCTTTAAGCTTGCCTTTTTTTTTTTTTATTAACAATAAGGCATACAATATCCAAGTCCTTCAATAACCTTAAAATACCTCATTCTTAGCAAAACTTGACAAAGATTTCTGTATTTCAAATTTATTACATGCCTAGGGGTTTTGTGCAAATAAAACTGATGGCTTGAAGGACAGAAACCCAATTTAGTACTCTTACTGAAGAAGCATACAGTGTGTGTTCAACCACACCATTAGTCACCAGAGAACCCACACAGGTGAGCCGCAGAAAAACAGACAGAAATAGTTCTAAGTGTAGCAGAACATAAGATTTTATCTGCACTTCCTTCCTAAAATAAAGACATCAAAACTTAACTAGAAATTATGACAAATCCTAAACTTACTTCAAGATGTTACAATAAATTGTACCAAAGCCATTTCAAAGAATGTCAAGTCCCTCAGCTCATGGAAGATGCTGGCAAAGAAATAGCTTGGGAGCACTAAAACTCTTTTCAAAAAGAGTACCGTATTCTGAAGGGTAG